ATATATATGTGTGTGTGTGTGTATCATATATCTCTATATACACATACAGTATTCTTCTATTGTACCCTTTGGGGGGGGGGGGGTTTCTTTAATCCTTTTTCCTCAGCTCCTTTCTCCACACTGTGTGTATATATGTATATATATATATATATATATATATATATATATATATATATATAATATATTTTATATTATCCTATATATAGAATATTAGTTATTAACTAATTATATATAATTGTTATTTAAAAATTCTAAACATTACTTAATAATATAATACAAAACAGAATATAAAACATAAAATTATATGTTTATCTATTGATACATGACCTGCCTAAAGACTTCTGAATAGGCAGGCTAATTTATTTCTTTATTTCAGGTACTTATATAGCGCCGTCAATTTACGCAGCTTTACATATATATTGTACATTCACATCAATCCCTAACCCTCAAGGGGCGTACAATCTAAGGTCCCTAACCCTCAAGGGACGTACAAGGTCCCTAACCCTCTCAAGGGGGTATCTAAGGTCCCTAACCCTCAAGGGGCGTACAATCTAAGGTCCCTAACCCTCAAGGGGGGTACAATCTATGGTCCCTAACCCTCAAGGGGCGTACAATCTAAGGTCCCTAACCCTCAAGGGGTGTACAATCTAAGGTCCCTAACCCTCAAGGGGCGTACAATCTAAGGTCCCTAACCCTCAAGGGGCGTACAATCTAAGGTCCCTAACCCTCAAGGGGTGTACAATCTAAGGTCCCTAACCCTCAAGGGGCGTACAATCTAAGGTCCCTAACCCTCAAGGGGCGTACAATCTAAGGTCCCTAACCCTCAAGGGGCGTACAATCTAAGGTCCCTAACCCTCAAGGGGTGTACAATCTAAGGTCCCTAACCCTCAAGGGGCGTACAATCTAAGGTCCCTAACCCTCAAGGGGCGTACAATCTAAAGTATTTGACCCTCAAGGGGCGTACAATCTAAGGACCCTAATCCTCAAGGGGCGTACAATCTAAAGTATTTGACCCTCAAGGGGCGTACAATCTAAGTTCCCTAACTCACATTCATACATACACATACCAGGTCCAATTTAGACAGGAGCCAATTAACCTACCAGCATGTCTTTGGAGTGTTGGAGGAAACCCATGCAGGCACAGGGAGAACATGCAAACTCCAGGCAGGTGATGCCATGGTTGGGATTCGAACCAATGACCCGAGTACTGCCAGGCGGAAGTGCTAACCATTTAGCCACTGTGCTGCCCGTGTGTGGGAGAGAATAAAGCCAATCAAATCATTTCCTTGCTCCTGCTGTCCTCGGAGAACTCTAACCATTTCATCAGATTTTGTTTGGCTTCCTGAAAAGTGGATCTGCAGCCCCGGCGCGCCCTACTTGCAAAGTCATAACGCTCAACGGCGCTTGCTGATCAGCATCCATTGCGTGTCACGATGCGTGTTGATGGTGGACGTTGGGGATGCCTTTTGATGTGTTTGTAATGGTCTCCATGGGAAAAGCTTCAAGCAGAAACACAAAAGATGTGAATCCAGTTTAGGCCGCCATGCTAATCGACAATCAAGCAAGTCTGCAGGTTTTTTTTTTTTTTCCTTTCTTCTGCTGTCCCCTGAGAGTTATAATGAGATCATTGAGGTTCCCGTCGGTTCCGATTTCCTTCCATTGCTGAAATAGTGACCCACAGACACGGCAACACAACGATTTGCTCCCAAGTGACTGGCAGGGAACCCACATAGCAACATTTGGCGATCGATCCCCAAAAATGTATTTTTTTTTTCGTTTTGGATAGAGTGGGGAACAGTCTTTGTCCTTTTTTAACCCTTTTTTTTAACTCTTACCTACCGGATCCAAAATGCCGCACCAGGCGCTACATTGCTGGCGCAGACCTATATAGTGGCGTAGTACGTAAGGAGGGCGGCGAGGAGAGGGGTCAGGCCTGGTTGGTGTCAGGAAGGTCTCGGAGGGGAGAGTTGGACGTGTCTCGGCGAATGTTCCCTGTGCGCGGCGAGATGCGGCTGGGATTCCTCACATTTCAGGACAAACTGACAGGCGGAATATCATTTTGTGCACTCTGTCCGCACCTGGATTGTATCCTGCCGGGGTCACCTCCGGGGGTCACCTCCGGGGGTCACGGAAATACCTGATATTCCCCATACGATATGCCGGATCGCCTAATGAAATGACCTCACTAAAAGGGGACCTGTCAGTAAGGCCACAAGTCTGTATATATATATCAGGGGTGGACTGACAACTCATGGGGCCCCCGGGCAATAGGGAATCATGGGGCCCCTGTGTGCTCGCCCATACTCAAACCACACCCAAAAAAGCCTATGAAAGGTACCAGGGGCATCTCATGGGGCCCCTTACTGACCCCAGGCCCTCGGGCAGTGCCCGAATCTCCGAATGGTCAGTCCGCCCCTGTATATATATATATATATCCCTGGCATGTCACAATACATAGCAACAGTATAATCTTTCCTTTTATCATTAAAAAGCTCCAGTCCAGTGACTTTGCCTAGGCTATGATGATGTCATCAGTCTGCTGCAGGCAGGAGGAAGCATTTCCTCAGTCTCCCCCCCCCCCCCCCAGTGATCACTCAGACAGTACACTTGAAGTAAACTGAGAGGCTGCAGCAGAGGCTGATCTGTGTCAGACATTTGTGAACGGGAATCAGGAATTGCACGATTTTGTCCTCTTAATCACTTCAGTCCTTCGTAGTAGATACTGACCCCGAAAGTCCATTTACACCATTACCGCCCAATAACAATGAGATCCTCCAGGGCCCTGCCTGTTCAGATTTGTATTTATTTCCGGAAATAGTGATCTGCAGACCGGTCTGCCTGCAAGATGCCCCCCCCCCCCCCAAACTCTTGAAGTTTTGGTCCTAAGTGCCTGGCAGAGGTGAGCAGTGATCATGAAAATCATCAGAGCCTAGGCAAAGTCACCTGACTGGAGCACGCACATCACCGGAGCCTAGGCAAAGTCACCTGACTGGAGCACGCACATCATCGGAGCCTAGGCAAAGTCCCCTGACTGGAGCACGCACATCATCGGAGCCTAGGCAAAGTCACCTGACTGGAGCATGCTTATCATCGGAGCCTAGACAAAGTCACCTGACTGGAGCACGCACATCATCGGAGCCTAGGCAAAGTCACCTGACTGGAGCACGCACATCATCGGAGCCTAGGCAAAGTCACCTGACTGGAGCATGCACATCATCGGAGCCTAGGCAAAGTCACCTGACTGGAGCACGCACATCATCGGAGCCTAGGCAAAGTCACCTGACTGGAGCACGCACATCATCGGAGCCTAGGCAAAGTCACCTGACTGGAGCACACTTCTCATCGGAGCCTAGGCAAAGTCACCTGGCTGGAGCACGCACATCATCGGAGCCTAGGCAAAGTCACCAGACTGGAGCACGCACATCATCGGAGCCTAGGCAAAGTCACCTGACTGGAGCACGCACATCATCGGAGCCTAGGCAAAGTCACCTGACTGGAGCACGCACATCATCGGAGCCTAGGCAAAGTCACCTGACTGGAGCACGCACGTCATCGGAGCCTAGGCAAAGTCACCTGACTGGAGCACGCACATCATCGGAGCCTAGGCAAAGTCACCTGACTGGAGCACGCACATCATCGGAGCCTAGGCAAAGTCACCTGACTGGAGCACGCAGATCATCGGAGCCTAGGCAAAGTCACCTGACTGGAGCACGCACATCATCGGAGCCTAGGCAAAGTCACCTGACTGGAGCACACTTCTCATCGGAGCCTAGGCAAAGTCACCTGGCTGGAGCACGCACATCATCGGAGCCTAGGCAAAGTCACCTGACTGGAGCACACAACTCTCATCGGAGCCTAGACAAAGTCACCTGACTGGAGCACACTTCTCATCGGAGCCTAGGCAAAGTCACCTGGCTGGAGCACGCACACCATTGGAGGCAAAGTCTCAGGACTCTAATATTCCCATTAGAGGAAAATCATTAAACGCCACAACAATGTGTGTGTGAGGTTGGCAGTGCAGATTCTTCAACACGCTCTATCACCTGTAGAAATCCAACCTGGTTGTATCGGGATGGTTATCTGCACTGCTGTCATCACCCGCTCTTCATTTTCAAAGACCTGAACGCTTTGAACACGCAGATCTACGCCCCGGGGTGAAAATGTGCATTCATCGACCCCGAGCTCCTTCAAGGGAGGCGGCTGGACGTATTCCCCCTCTTCAATCCCTTCCATGCCTGGAAAATGTCAACACAATTATCAGCAAGGTGGACAAAGTTCAACGCAAAGGGGAATACGCATCATGATGGATGGATGGATGGATGGATGGATGGATATGGGAGGGATAGATAGATAGATAGATAGATAGATAGATAGATAGATAGATAGATATGGGAGGGATAGATAGATAGATAGATAGATAGATAGATAGATAGATAGATAGATAGATAGATTTTTTTTTAGTAGAAGGCATCAAATGTATTTCACAGTATAAGGGGCATTCTTCCCACTGATCACCAATGTAAGGGACGTTCTTCCCTCTGACCTCCAATGTAACGGACATTCTTCTCACTGACCACCAATGTAAGGGACATTCTTCCCTCTGACCTCCAATGTAAGGGACATTCTTCCCTCTGACCTCCAATGTAACGGACATTCTTCCCACTGACCACCAATGTAAGGGACATTCTTCTCAATGACCCCCAATGTAAGGGACATTCTTCTCACTGACCACCAATGTAAGGGACATTCTTCTCACTGACCCCCAATGTAAGGGACATTCTTCTCACTGACCACCAATGTAAGGGACATTCTTCCCTCTGACCCCCAATGTAAGGGACATTCTTCCCACTGACCTCCAATGTAAGGGACGTTCTTCCCTCTGACCTCCAATGTAACGGACATTCTTCTCACTGACCACCAATGTAAGGGACATTCTTCCCTCTGACCTCCAATGTAAGGGACATTCTTCCCTCTGACCTCCAATGTAACGGACATTCTTCCCACTGACCACCAATGTAAGGGACATTCTTCTCACTGACCCCCAATGTAAGGGACATTCTTCTCACTGACCACCAATGTAAGGGACATTCTTCTCACTGACCCCCAATGTAAGGGACATTCTTCTCACTGATCACCAATGTAAGGGACATTCTTCCCACTGACCACCAATGTAATGGACATTCTTCCCACTGACCCCCAATGTAAGGGACATTCTTCTCACTGACCACCAATGTAAGGGATATTCTTCCCTCTGACCTCCAATGTAAGGGACATTCTTCCCTCTGACCTCCAATGTAAGGGACATTCTTCCCTCTGACCTCCAATGTAACGGACATTCTTCCCACTGACCACCAATGTAAGGGACATTCTTCTCACTGATCACCAATGTAAGGGACATTCTTCCCACTGACCACCAATGTAAGGGACATTCTTCTCACTGACCACCAATGTAAGGGACATTCTTCCCACTGACCCCCAATGTAAGGGTCATTCTTCCCACTGACCACCAATGTAAGGGGCATTCTTCCACTGACCACCAATGTAAGGGACATTCTTCCCACTGACCACCAATGTAAGGGACATTCTTCCCACTGATCACCAATATGTTGGCTTTAACCAGATCTGAAAATGATTTTCAAGACTTCCTTGATGGTAATAAATAGTTGCGAGTGTCACTCTGGTGTCTACGGCTTATGCCTAGGCACACACGGGCAGGTATTTTTAAGGTCGATCCTACTGCTAAAATCCCCCTTGATTCATCGTTTTCAGTCGATCCCTACACATAGGAGACAGTTGGATGTGGCAGATAGTGTTGATTCACGATGATGGTACGATGCTCCAAATATCTGATAAATCAATACAACACTCAATGATCGATTAATCAGGGTATATTCGTCCATGTGCGTGTCTGGTTGTAGTAACCTTACTGAGCCCCGTCGTCTCGCCGCCTTAGGCAGTGGTGCACGGTGCCCTTCCCCAAGTTTCACCTCTACCTAAGCACACTCTATAAAGTGATATAAAGCCCATCTTGGATCCACATAAGACTCGGCTAATCCCCATACAGCACCTTAATCACCCCTAAGTGGATCCCACAAAGCCCGTACGGTACAAGCCGGCTACTCGGCGTTGGTTTAACGACGTGTCAAGCGACTGCCTGCACGCATAATTAGAGGGTTTGGGAAGATTAAGGGGTTAAGGACGGAGTGGAGGGAGCAGGAGCATGGAGAAGCCACAAACAACACGCACTTGACAGCTTCTCGCTCTTTCATGTTGATGTTTTGAAATCTTCGGGCCCCGTGTGAGTGACAGCTTGACAAGAATTAGGTCTCCGCGACTCTTTCATGTTCAAAGCTGATTATCTGCTCTGGGAAAGGTGATGCCGGGGACTGCATGGCAGTCTAATAGGCCCCCTTCACCTCCCTTAAAGGTGAGAAGGGGGTGGCCATCTTCTACCATGACATCATTCCTGGTTTTAAAGGGGCCCCAGACATGACAGGTGGCCTTATGGTAAAAGGCTTAAAACTGCATTTAGAGGTCTATGGAAAGGTATTTACAATGTGATCTAGATTGCAGGGCATTTAAATGGTCATGGTCTAGCAGTGGGGGGTGATAGTTCCCAACACAAGGTGGACCTCCTGTCCAGCTGCCAGCTCTGAGCCTTCGTTAGCCTACCCTACAATGTCCACCACTAGAGAAAGATGTTGGCCAGCAGAGAGGCCCAAAGGTTACAATTTGTGGTCGTATGACACGATTATGATTTGTTCTAGCCTCAGCAATACAGTGCGAGGTTGGCGGTAAGAGTCTATCGGCACCGCTGCTGGAATAGAGATGGGGGAACTGGGCTGTTGTGTATTGTCCATGTATTGCCTGTGTATGCATCAATTACCCATCAGTTGTCCATGAATTGCCTGTGTAGGCCTCAATTACCCATGAATTGTCCACATATTGCCTGTGTAGGCCTCAATTACCCATGAATTGTCCACACATAGCCTGTGTAGGCCTCAATTAAACCCATGAATTGTCCACGTATTGCCTGTGTGGGCCTCAATTACCCATGAATTGTCCACAAACTATTGCCTGTGTAAGCCTCAATTACCCATGAATTGTCCACGTATAGCCTGCGTAGGCCTCAATTTACCCATGAATTGTCCACGTATTGCCGTGTGTAGGCATCAGTTATCCATGAATTGTCTACGTATTGCCTGTGTGGGCCTCAATTACCCATGAATTGTCCACATATTGCCTGTGTAAGCCTCAATTACCCATGAATTGTTTACGTATTGCCTGTGTAGGCCTCAATTACCCATGAATTGTCCACATATTGCCTGTGTAGGCCTCAATTACCCATGAATTGTCCACGCATATAGCCTGTGTAGGCCTCAATTACCCATGAATTGTCCACGTATTGCCTGGTGTAGGCATCAGTTATCCATGAATTGTCCACGTTTGCCTGTGTATGCATCAGTTATCCATGAATTGTCTACGTATTGCCTGTGTAGGCCTCAATCACCCATGAATTGTCCACGTATTGCTTGTGTAGGCCTCAATTACCCATGAATTTTCCACATATTTGCCTGTGTAGGCATCAGTTACCTATGAATTATCCACATATTTCCTGTGTAGGCCTCAATTACCCATGAATTGTCCATGTATTGCCTGTGTATGCCTCAATTACCCATGAATTGTCCACATATTGCCTGTGTAGGCCTCAGTTACCCATGAATTGTCCACGGCGTATTGCCTGTGTAGGCCTCAGTTACCCATGAATTGTCCACATATTGCCTGTGTAGGCCTCAGTTATCCATGAATTGTCCACGTATTGCCTGTGTAAGCCTCAATTACCCATGAATTGTTTACGTATTGCCTTGTAGGCCTCAATTTACCCATGAATTGTCCACATATTGCCTGTGTAGGCCTCAATTACCCATGAATTGTCCACGCATTAGCCTGTGTAGGCCTCAATTACCCATGAATTGTCCACGTATTGCCTGTGTAGGCATCAGTTATCCATGAATTGTCTACGTATTGCCTGTGTGGTCCCTCAATTACCCATGAATTGTCCACATATTGCCTGTGTAAGCCTCAATTACCCATGAATTGTCTACGTATAGCCTGTGTAGGCCTCAATTACCCATGAATTGTCCACGTATTGCCTGTGTAGGCAACAGTTTTCCATGAATTGTCCACGTATTGCCTGTGTATGCATCATTCATCCATGAATTGTCTACGTATTGCCTGTGTAGGCCTCAATCACACCCATGAATTGTCCACGTATTGCTTGTGTAGGCATCAGTTACCTATGAATTATCCACATATTTCCTGTGTAGGCCTCAATTACCCATGAATTGTCCATGTATTGCCTGTGCGTATGCCTCAATTACCCATGAATTTTCCACATATTGCCTGTGTAGGCATCAGTTACCTATGAATTATCCACATATTTCTGTGTAGGCCTCAATTACCCATGAATTGTCCATGTATTGCCTGCGTATGCCTCAATTACCCATGAATTGTCCACATATTGCCTGTGTAGGCCTCAGTTATCCATGAATTGTCCACGTATTCACCGTGTAGGCCTCAGTTATCCATGAATTGTCCACGTATTGCCTGTGTAGGCCTCAGTTTATCCATGAATTGTCCATGTGTTGCCTGTGTAGGCCTCAATTACCCATGAATTGTATTGCCCATGTATGCCTTGTTTTCCCATGTATGCCCAATTTCCCATGTATTAGCTAGTGTATGGCTCAGTTTCCCATGTATTGCCCATGTATGCCCAGTTTCCCATGTATTACCTGTGTATGGCTCAGTTTCCCATGTATTTACCTGTGTATGGCTCAGTTTCCATGTATTGCCCATGTATGGCTCAGTTTTCCCATGTATTGCCCATGTATGGCTCAGTTTTCCCATGTATTGCCCATGTATGCCTAGTTTCCCATGTATTACCTGTGTATGGCTCAGTTTCCTATGTATTGCCCATGTATACCCAGTTTCCCATGTATTACCTGTGTATGGTTCAGGTTTACCATGTATTGCCCATGTATGCCTCAGTTTCCTATGTAATGCCCATGTATGTGCCCAGTTTCCTGTGTATTACCCGTGTATGGCTCAGTTTCCATGTAATTTATTGCCCATGTATGCCCAGTTTCCCATGTATTGTCCATGTATGCCCAGTTTTCTAGTTCCATGTATTACCTGTGTATGCCCAGTTTTTCACATGTATTGGCCATGTATGGCTCAGTTTCCCCATCTACTGCCCATGTATGCCCAGTTTTCCCATGTATTTGCCCAGTTTCCCATGTAATTGCCCATGTATTGCCCAGTTTCCCATGTATTGCCCATGTATGGCTCAAGTTTCCCATGAATTGCCCATGTATGGCTTAGTTTCCCATGTATTGCCCATGTATGGCTCAGTTTCCCACATGTATTGCCCATGTATTCCCAGATTTCCCATGTATTGCCCAGTTTCCCATGTATTGCCCCATGTATGCCCAGTTTCCCATGTATTGCCCATGTATGCCCAGTTTTCCCATGTATTGTGCCCAGTTTTTCCCCATGTATTGCCCATGTATGGCTCAGTTTCCCATGTATTGCCCATGTATGGCCTCAGTTTCCCATGTGTTGCCCATGTATGGCTCAGTTTTCCCATGTATTGCCCATGTAAGTGCCCAGTTTTCCCATGTATTGCCTAGTATGGCTCAGTTTCCCATGTATGGCTCAGTTTCCCATGTGTTGCCCATGTATGGCTCAGTTTCCCCATGTATTTGCCCATGTATTTGCCCAGTTTCCCATGTAATTGCCCATGTATGGCTCAGTTTCCCATGTATTGCCCATGTATTCCCAGTTTCCCATGTATTGCCTCAGTTTCCCCATGTATTGCCCATGTATGCCCAGTTTCCCCATATATTGCCCATGTATGCCCAGTTTCCCATGTATTGCCCAGTTTTTACCCATGTATTGCCCATGTATGGCTCAGTTTCCCATGTATTGCCCAGGTATGGCTCAGTTTCCAATGTGTTGCCCATGTATGGCTCAGTTTCCCATGTATTTTGCCCATGTATAGTGCCCAGTTTCCCATGTATTGCCTATGTATGGCTCAGTTTCCAATGTATGGCTCAGTTTCCCCATGTGTTGCCCAATGCATGGCTCAGTTTCCCATGGTATTGCCCATGTATTGCCCAGTTTCCCCATGTATTGCCTATGTATGGTGCTCCGAGTTTCCCATGTATTGCCTATGTATAGCTCAGTTTTCCCATGTTATTGCCCATGTATGGCTCAGTTTCCCATGTGTGCCCATGTATGGCTCAGTTTCCCAATGTATTGCCCATGTAGTGCCCAGTTTCCCCATGTATTGCCTATGTATGGCTCCTCAGTTTCCCATGTATGGCTCAGTTTCCCATGTGTGTGCCCATGTATGGCTCAGTTTCCCATGTATTGCCCTCAGTTTTCCCCATGTATTGCCTATGTATGGCTCAGTTTCCCATGTATTGCCTATGTATAGCTCAGTTTTTTCCCATGTATTGCCCATGTA